ACCCTCTACGCAACATCGTGCCTGCTTAATCTGTACCAACTACGTCGTAACTACGTTCATAGCTTCCTATTTTACAAAAACAAAAAAAAACTTCTGCAGCTGGGAACCCTCAAAGCGTTTGGAGTAGGATACAAGTATGAGATTGAAGAAGACGAGACTGTGAAGTGCCCCGCTATGGTCAAAATCGACATGGTAGATTATCATTATAATACAATTCTACCTTGCCTCCCTAATTCGAACATCATGAGGCTGTAGTGAGAGAGAACCTCTTCCTATAATAGACTCAGGCTATTCCCGACCCACAAAGATCCACATCCCCACATTCTTAAGCGTTGACTTTGCTCCATCGCAAGCAGAGCAACCAGTCCATCATCTTTGACCCTCGCCGACTGGCCGAAATAAGTTTGTGGGGGTGGGTGGGAAGGAAAACGAAAAGAGTGAAGAGAAACAGAGTGTGTAATGGTAATTCGGTCATTCTTTTTTTCTCTGCCGCCGCTATGCCCCTTCGTAGTGCGGTGTTGCCTCAGGTACCATGGTGCAAGCCAATGACCACCAAATAATCATTTGACCCCACAAAGTCCATCTCCCTTCACTTAATGCCGAACTTTCCTTCTTTTCCTCTTCTGTGCTCTCAGAAATCTCTTCCCTTTTCATCCTCGCAACCTTCTTCCGCACTCTACATCTAATCTCCAAGATGACTGATATCTCTCAGATCTTCAAAGGCACTCAGATCGCCCTTCCTGGCTCCGCAGATCTCCAGCTGAATGCGAGTACATGGGTGATCGACGAGAAGCTTTATGAGAATAGAGTCGATGGAGTGCGTGAGCCTACTTCTGATCCCGACGAACAGCCATCCGGTTGGGAGGCTAAGTATCTATGTCACGATCAACATTTCCCCAATAATCACGCCTTCATGAGAGTCTACTGTCAAGGTCCTGATGAGGGAACAGAATTCCTCCTGCCGGAGGTTCGAGCCCAACAGGCAAATCCTCACTTTGAAAAGCGGGAAGCCAAAGCTCGGAAGAAGTTCAGCCAAGGTGGATGCAAAAGTGTACCTTCACTACTTGGATATGGCCAATCCACGCAAGGGGAAAACGGACCTGTACCTGGAGGATACATAACCTATCTTGTTTGGGAAAAGGTCCCCGGGCAGGTCCTCACTCCGGAACTCTTCTGGTCATTCGAGCGACCAAAACGTGATCTCGTTCGCCGAAAGTTCCGGGCTGCATATGAGTAAGTGCAGAGTCAAGTCTTTGAGATCATGCTAACGCAAAGTCAGGGATATGTCGTCCTTTGGCTGGGGTCCAGGAGGGGGGGATATCACAAAGATTATATGGGACAAAGAATGCGCCGATCTATGGATCTCAGCGTTTCGCGCTTCATATCCAACTGACGACAAGTGGGGGGATCGCATTCTGGCTTATTTCAACTTGATCGAGCCACCACCGCGCGACGTCTGGGGGAACATTTGTGAGGATCTTGATAAATGGGAGTGGTGATACAGGCAGGTTTCTATTGATATTGATGACAGGGAGAACATCCAGGTACCGCTTCAGTGATCCTCGAAGGTAAACTCTCCGCCTTTTTTGAGGTGTGAGTATCTCTCATAACGAGTTTCTTCTTGGAGTAACTCCCCTGTTTTGAAGGTGCGAGTAATATTCTATTGTCTTCCAAGATTTTGCTTCGTGATCAATCCAATTCTTAACGATCTCCGAATTTACGTTTCCACCTATTCAAAGTTCACTTAATATTCCTCCAGTAGGCTCTTTTGCTCTCAAATATAACAATGGAGATGTTCCAGATCTTATCTAATAGCGTGGAGGCCTGTAGCCGAAATTTCTGGACTCTGCATGTATAAGTCACACTCGACTCTGTTTATCCTAAAGCTTATCAACGTCAGATCAAAGCTACGAACCCGCAAGCTACTTATCATAGGCCACGTTTTCGAAACTAAGGAATCATTCGATTGATATCAATAGGAAGAAGAAGTTATGCTATAATACAATTCTACGGCATTCATGATTATACGAACTAACTGCCAAGCAACTTCGGAAAACGTAAAACTCCAGTGCCAACAAACATCAAAACATCAAACACGGTGTCTCATCAATTCATAATCGGTAGGATGGTCGGACCGGCACCGCCTGGAAGCCTATGAGCAGGGATGGCCTTTATAAAAATGCCATTCTCAAGGAATTATTGCTGACATTGACAGAGTAATATCTACTGATCCAGACCCATCATAATAGGTCCGAATCCTAATTTTGCCTCCATATTCTACCTGTGTGATAGACCGATTCGCCGTTTAGAGCGTGATGTCAATTTCGATGGATGAGGTTGAACGCTGCATGTCAGTCTCCGTGATATACTGCATACTGGACGTAATCAAGTCCTCGAGAACTGTAAAAGTCCAATGGAAGTCAAAGTTGATCACATATATCACGATGATGGCAATGATAGTGGTAAAACACCCGCTGTTGAAGCAAGCAAATATGCTAATCCATCTGCCTCCATGGCATTTGCGTCATAAAAATCTTGAAATAACGACCCTTCTTAATGCAAAGCGGACCCAAAATTGGCAGATCTCAGAGAGGCGGTGTCCTTCAGAGGCTACCATGGCCCCCGGGTCCCGGGTTTACCTTGCGTATGAGCCACTGCTTTGGCGAAGATTCCTAGATAGACGGGCTAGGTGTTTAGGTGGTGTAATCGGCGCAAATTCTCAGGCCAGTATGAAAACCCTCAAATTGATGAAGTCGAAGCGTAAAAAGGCGTAGAATATCGATCATGTCGCTGCCAATTTGTTGCAATTAAATGTTTTGTCGGATGAAACAAACGTGGAGTTTTGTGGGAAGAATTAGTCCAGCAGGGGAGAGATCACCGGTTGCAAGTCGAATGCGTAGGGTGAGAATCGAGGTTGGTCAGATGATTGCCCAACGAGAGCAGGGCCCATGCACTCTTTGAATCCCATACTGTATTCGCCTAATATATAGAGAGAAGCGACCAGACCATTGGTCTATATATCAAGTGGCGGCTAAATTGAGAAGGGAGAAAGAATAGGAACACCCAAAGAAGGAACGGTCAGCCTACGAAGGTTCAGAGGGCGGCCCTGACACTCAGGGAGTTACAAGGATGAATTGACGATTCCCTAAGTTTACGACTACTCCAGATAGTAAATCAGATTGAAAGCAGCGAGGAAATTTGAGTAGGTTGACAAGTTTCATTGAAGACTGAATGGAGCGCTAAGTCAAGACTTCTATACACTTGATCACACATTCGACAAAGGAAAGGGATCCACTCGCATGGGGAGTTTTGTCTTCAGAGATACCCACACCTCTCTACATTGGTAGGAGAGGGGAGCTTACTCACAGCTCCATAAATGAAGCGGAGTTTTCTCGTGCCCTATTTTATTGATTCCACCCAGCTTTTGGAGGTAGTTGGTTATCGACCTTGCCTTGCCCACGCGCCAGGATCGCAATATAGAAAAAACATTCTCTCACGGTCACCACCGGAGATCTTTTGGTGTAGATATTGGACGCCAGAATCACTGGGGAGCAATCCACGACCCATGTCGTACCGTCGTGGCGTTGTCGGAGAAAGATCGTCTCTTCATAATTCGACAGAAAGCCGTACATACACCCCCGTCTCTTTCATATATCCGAGAATCTGGCCCACTAAGACCCGAAAATGAGAATTTTGGCAGAAGGGCTCGAACTTTAGGCGACGCTCGATACGGTGATGGACAACCCACGGCACCTTCAGCTCACCCACAAGCTTCAACTCATTCCTTGATGTCTTCATAGTACAATCTGGGACTTTTCCCCCTGGATTAGGAAGACATTTGGAATCGGCAAACCGGATATCAAGCCTTTGAGCTTCAAACGCCTGTCCAAGTGTTTGGCCGATCGCCTGTTGAAACCTTCCCTGTACACCTGTCTCATCTCCGACAAAGTCCTTATTGTCATCAAGATTGTGGGTCTTCAGGGTGTATCCGATAACGCTGCTGCTCCAATGTTGGTTATCCATTGTTGCTCGTACATTCTGAAAGAAATTTGGCCAATGATTCAAGTCGCCGTTGTAAACAAGTGGGTGTACGGCATTGGAGCTCGTATGGAAATCTGTCATCAGTAGAGGAGGTAGAGCCGAGTTGACGGTCTCACGTTCGCGGATTTGCTTACCCATGATGTAGATGAATGCTGTTGATGGTAGTTTCGGAAGTGTGAAGAGCGAGATGAAAGTGTGGGAAAGATGAGATGGAAGCGAGAAACCACTAGTTAGGAAGGCAGGAGGGCTCTCCTCGTGCTTCAGTCCTCGCATTTTCAGATTTCAGACTTTCAATCTCTCCGACCAACCAACCAGTCAGTCAACTTGCTTGATGAAGACAATTCCTCTCCATACTGCATAGGCATACTCAGCACCAAATGCAGGGATAACCAATTCATTCACCTAACTGATATTGAGGCCACAAATCCGCTCGTTTCCTACGACCCCTGCCCAAGTCTACGCACTTCAATTCGAAAACAAATAGCACCGAAGCTCGCTTATCCCCGAAACAGACCGCATTCCTCGATGCACTCAAAAGCTGACAGAATGATCATCTTCCAGGTGTGAAGGCGTATCCAAAGGCAAATCCACGGCGTTGTTTGTGAGATCCTCCAATAATTATTCCGACCAGGCAATTGATCTCCCGAAGGTTTCATCTGATCTGTCTAGTGATGGAAAGGCGTGCAGTTGCCAGCCGCCAGTTCCCAGGAGGTCGATGACGCAGTCTACGTGAATTAAATGGCGTCCTAATTTTAATTAGACTTGTTCCAGATCCACAATCGATACTTCGTACTAATGCCTCGCCCCACGGGTGTGCATTTACCAAGAAGGCCGCGTACAATAACCGACTTGTCATTATATCGAACTTACATTGAAGATCATTGGGGGAAAAAAAAGTAACCGGCAATTGCAACCGAAGATGAAAGTTTCAATTCTCGAGACATCTACTGAGAGGGACTCTACTTCATCTCCTCTCCGTCGGAGTCGAGATCCAGGTTGATTTCGAATTCGGCATCAAGGCCGTCTGTGATAGAGAGAGCATCAGTCGGCTCCTCATTGGCCTGCTCTGCGCTCCCCTCTTGGAGTCGCAGGCGCGACAGCTCGGCATTCTCCTGTTGGAGGCGAGCAATGGTCTCCTGCTGCTGGGCCAATGCAGCCTCCAGCTGTTCCAGTCGGTCGGGTTGGCCTGCAATACCCCTTGGCAACAGCGCCCCTCGTCCTCTTCCTCTTCCTCCTCTCCACCCACCGCCCCGCCCCCCTCGGTTCTGGCCTCGGCCACGACCCCAGGCCAAATTGGTGGTGGTGGAGCCCACTCCCGCGACCCCACCGAAAACCGACCCCTATGTCCATCAGTCAGTATCAGTCTTCTAGATTTAATTTTGTCAAAGAATGGCTTCTTACAGCGATGTTGATTACTGGGGCTCCTTGCCCGGCATTGGCGCTGCCTTGGGCATATCGCCAATGGTCGTGGGTGCGGTGGCCGCGCACACCGCACACACCGCAGCGACCCCGGTTGCGTTTCTACCATGATTTAGCATCAATGTTACATGGTTGCCGGCTTGCATACCTTTTGGGAAGCGCCCTTCCCACGATTGCCTTGGCCCTCGTGGCCGTGGGGGGGGGGGGGGGGGGGGGGGGGGGGGGGGGGGGGGGGGGCGGGGGGGGGGGGGGGGGGGGCGGGGGGGGG